AGACTCTTGTCATTGTGGGGGACATTACAAATTCCCTACGCTGCCCTGACAGGCTGACTACTGATCTTTGCTGGCATTTCGAATGCTGTTAGAAATCAAACTGGGTTCAGTAGGAGGGGAAATGCTTATGTAAAGATGTGGTCAGAAGTACCCTTCTTCCCCAGAGAGGGTGTCAGGATCACGGAGCTTATGACCTGTTCCTCTTAGATGGCTGGTTCCTGGTGGACTAAGACCCCCTTTCCTGACTCCCACTTCCGTTCTCTTTCCCCTACATTACGTTGTACTGTATGAAGTCGCCATTTTTGTAGATCAAAAAATGATGCAATAGCCGTCATTCCATTTTATTTAACCTAATAATCGTGCCCACCTTCACACAATTTTAAGGGCTCTTGGGCAAAACAAAGACAAAACAAATCTATGTTCTTTCTGAAGGCTGAATTCCTCGAAGGAAAAAAAAAACTTCTCTTCCTAATCAGAGCTCTGATTGAAAACGCAGACCAGTGATTTAAAGAGAGAATGTCCCAAGTAAAAGTGAAACATCTATTTAAACTTTCTAGATCAATTAAAGTAGACCCTTTCCTAGATGCCAGGTTGACCAGGAGAGCGCTGAGTCCCAGAAAGGCTGGGGAAAAGTGTTTCAAGTGTATAATAAGCAATAAATATCAATCAAGCAATAACTACTTGCTGATACGAGCGAACTGTTTTCATAATTGCTATTGTTGTTTAATCCCTTCAACATCCTTGGGAACTAGATCTTATTATCCTTTTTTAATTGGTAAACTGAGATACAGGTTAATTTAATTGCCCAAAGTGACATGGATATAGCTAAGATGTATTTTGAGTTGATGCATTACATCATAATGTTTACACCATACCCTGCTTCATCCTTAAGAATTGTTGCACAAGTGTTTTTTTTTCTAATTTAAAGATAAATTTATCCATTACTGTAACCTGGCTTGGTCCAAAATTTGAGAGTTGTAAGAGATATCTTGTTTGAGTGCTGGTCAAATGTTGGGAAATCAGTCATACTCTAACAAGCAATCAGGTTCTCTCTGTTTTTCTTATTTCTTGCTTCCAATTTTAGCCTCTCCTTACACCAGCCTGAGTTTCACCTCTTGAAACTACGAACAGGAGGAAGATTCATTCAGTAGTGAGGAGGTCAAGTCATCTTTTCCCGCAAAAGCAGTATAAAGCTGGATAAAACTGTCAAAAACAGCCATGTGAGTGCTCCAGAAATTGACCAAAGGCTAACCAAACACCTGAGAAACGTGTCTTCATGAAAGCTCCTGAACTTCAGGTAGACACAGCACTGTCCCCTGTGTTCTTGTCTAGGCAGCCTCCGTCCCCCCACCCCGCCCCAGGCTCTGTGGTCCTGGCAGACGATGGAGGGGGAGGAAGGTCATGGGAACCAGCGACTTTACTTCCAGTGCCAAGGGAGGCTCTCACTCCGCGTGAGTGTTCCCAAGTCAATCCAAAATAGGAGAGGGAATTATAAGTAGAATTATGATCGTATGTAGACAAAAAAAATCTTAAGTCTTCTTTTTTAGCAAGAAAGAATTAAAGTCACTCACTGAAATATTCCTTTTAAGATGATTTTAATAAACTTTTAAAGTTATCTTTGGATACATTAGTCTGGTGAGTGTGACCTTCATGTGTCTTTTTGATAGAATGGAATAGAAAGGAAGTTCTGTGTGGGACAATAGCTAAAAATTAACTATGATACTATAACATTACATTTTTTTCCTTCTCCCTTATTTATGTGACAGGTCATTTCCTTAAAGAAGTCACTTAAATGGGCCTGACACTTACAAAACCAGTTTTATCTGCCATCTTGCATCTCTGTTCTTTGAAGTGGTTACAAACTGGTGGATAAATTGCGCTGGTAAATGCCAGGTTTCAAAGATAAAACAACTAATCTGTAATTATTAAGATCCCCTAAAATTTTCATTTCTAAAACTGTCAGTGGATATTCATGTGCATTTATATTAATTTATGTGTCTTTATTTGAATATATATATGAAAATATATATATATATACACACATACAGAAAATATGCTGCATCATACATCTTTCATCCAATCTTGGACGGATTTTCTCTTCTCTTCCATGAAATTCTATTAACTTATAGTGTTTCTAATCACATTTGCAATTATCTTAAGGACCCTAACAGAGAGTGTCAGGCACTGATAATTTCATTAATTTCAGTCAATGTGCAAAGATCATTCATTTAACATTCATGCACTTGAATAATTGAAATAACCTCTTTTTCCATACTCTTCAATGTTTTCCCTCCCACTCTGACTTTCTTCTGTCTCATCATTCCCAGCAAATACTCTTCCCCTTTGCTCATTTGTGATGACCTTTTATTAAAAGTTAATATTTTTCTCTGTGTTTTCAGGATATTACATTAATTCCTTTCTTTCAGCATCTGGGTTTCATTTTTATCTAGGGAAACATTTTCCCGGTTCATGTCTTGTACTTTAAATAACTGATTAATTTCGTTCTGAAAGCTCACATTTCCTACCTTACATTACAATCGTGTGTGTGTGAGTGTGTGTTTGTTTCTGTGTATGTGTGTTTGCTGTCAAGTTTACTGTCACTGGGGAATTTTTCAACCTTTTGATATTCTCACTCAGCTTATATAACGTGAAAACTATCTTTACATCTATACATATGCATATATATTATATATAGACGTGTATATGAAAATATATGCAAAGTTTCTAAAATCTACTAGCAAGTTAAAGTATGACTGAAGTGAATTAAGCCTTGGTTGGCTCTGGTGTATCCTTTCCTAGCCTTTCAGTGTTTAGCAAGAATCCTGCTCAGCAAGCGTGAGTTGATTCCACGGAAGAACAGGGGACCTCAGGCTGAGCTCCAAAGGTTCATCTCTTGCAAAGCCCCTCCCTTTCACTTTCAAGGTCCCTTTGTTGCATGGATGATTGAGTATATCCTGTCCCTTCTAACTCCCTTCTAAGTATGTAAAGCAGAGACCCTCTTCTGGAATCCTTTTTCTGATATGTCCAGCTGTATTGCACCCAAGTCCCTTCTCTCAGCAGGATAAGAGAGACAAGGAGATGGTGGAGGTTCTACTGCTTCTCTGATTCTAAGTGGCCATCCATCGCTTGTGGTACCAGTCTACACCCTTTGCATGATGGAAAAATTAATAAACTGCATAACCAAGGCAAGTTTATCATAGGAGTGCTAAGATACCTGATTTTTGGAAATTACATTTTAAAAATCACTTTAATATGTTGAAGTCTACTTCAATAATTTCAAGAGATGCCAAAATGGCATTTGATACAATTCAAAACCTATTGCTCAATTTAATAAAGAAATCATTTTAAAATTACCGGTCTAGACAACCTTCTCATCACAACTATGGAAGACATCCACTTAAAACAGTAAGAAGGAAAGGATGCTCATTTTCTCTAGTACTGTTTAAACTTGTTCGGGAAGCTGTAGTCAACCAATGTGAAACAAAATAAAAATAAAAATTGTGAAAGAGAAATAAGACATTATGACTATTTGCCAATAGCATGATTTTGTGAAAAAATCAAAATTTCAGGTTATTTAGTTCAGCCTTAGCTGAAATTCAAGGAAAAATCAGAGGCCACACAAATTTTGGTAGTTGAATCTTTGTGAGATTAATGCACTTGACCTACTGAGCTCAATGTTTAGAATAGAAAGCACTGAGCTGGCTCTTACATTTGTAGTACAGATAAGAAGAAGAGCAGGAAAAGATTTAGATATGGTTATCTTGAGGACTTTAAAACGTAGAAATGAGTCAGGTTGGGGTGAAGGTGCTTTCTAGCAGATTTTTATTTATTCTGTATCTCGTCATCAGAATATTGAAGCATGTTTACAAGAAGCTCTCCTGAGAGAATTACTGACCTGAAACAATAGACTGCCAGATAATTCTCCAGCTAAGATGGGTTTATTTGGTATCGACAGAGAAATGCAATTTGAGGTGTGCAACCATGGCCAGCTGTGTGCACCCAGCCGCAGGCAGGGGAAGGAGAACACTTTTCTGGACGGGAAAAGGAAGTCACTCAGGAGGGCCGTGGTGAACAGAGTCCATGGCTTTTCACTGGCTGAGTCTTTGCCACGGAAGAGGAGTCCTTTTTCTTCCCTTCGGGCTGTGCTTCTGCAGCAGGGCGTGAGAGCGCCCCCTTCTGGTCACCCAACTCTATTTAAAGGAGGTTTCTGTTTCTTTTTTTACACGGTTTACTTGAAATTCAATGAAAAGTTGTCATAGAACTACTAACCTTGAAACACTAATGCTTGTTTACTTGTTTGCTATAGGAGAGTGTTGGCTTTTTCATTATGTATGGTGTCATAAAAAGTTAAAAATTCAATATTGAACACGCACTTTAGCATCAATAATCTGGTTATAATTAATTCAACTAAGAAAAACCTCGCATCAGTTATAGGACGAGAAAGTTAAATGGTGATTATAGCAAAACATTTTGAAAATACAAAGTAGAATCTCAAAAATTTGCCTCAAATCCTTAGTGCTGATAAGAAGGGTTCTGAAATTCTGGCCGATAAAGTCAAGCACTTTGTAAAAGTATTTTCTATATACCAGATATATCCAGTAGTAAATAATTTAAAATTCTCATTCTTGCCATCGTTGCCCAAAATGTTAAGTAACAAGAATCAGCTTTAAAAGGATATATACAGGATCTAACAAACAAAAATAAAAATATCTTTAAAATGTTATTGATGGAAATAAAAGGAGAATTAAGAGGCAAATTATGTTCTTAACTGGTAAATTTAAATAACTAACAACTTTTCCCAAGTTAATTTTGAATGGAAATTCTGATGTTTATTTTTTCCCCTGGAAGTTGGTCAAGTAGAATAATGAAGTAGCATAAATATCCAAAAAAGTTTTGGGAAAAAAAGAGCATGTTATAAAATTACAGTAATTAAAATTATACTCTTTCAGAACAAAATTCATCAGACAGATCAATGGAGTAGAAAAAGGGCATAGACAGAATTTCTCTATACACAAGTTTATTATCTGGTAAAGAAGTCATCTCAGATTATTGGCTGTGAAGGAAGTAAATGCTGCTGGCACAACAAATTAACCACATAGAAAAAACTAAAACTTCATTGTGTTCAGAAAAATCTGTAGATAGATTAAAAAGGTATATGTGAAGGTAAAAGTGTAGAAGACCATTTATTTATGTTATTTTGGAACAAAGATTTTCTTAGCATAAGAAACAGATGAGATTTGATCACATGGGAATAAAAATGAACATGTCAGAAACTGAAAAAGAAAATGTAAAAAAAAAAGGCAATATATATGGCAGTCAATATACTTTTATAATGAGATTGTTCAAAAAACGTAGTAGAAAGATTTTACATATCTCAAGTTGCTAATTAACATAATAAAACATTCAACCTCAACATGTAGCCAAAAATACAAAATAAAACAAGAATTAGATATCTTCATCTATTGAGTGATTTTAGAATTGGTAAAAATGGTGCCTTGAAAAAGCCGCTCATACACCACTCCTGACAAAGTGGTCCAGACTTGCAGGAAATACATTGCTAAACCTATCAAGAGATTAAAATTAGTATATATCCTTTCATTCAGTGATTCCAGTTTGAAGAATTAAAGCTAAGTATAGTCAAATATATGGAAACGATCTACATATCAAGTTCATCACAGCATAGTTTATAATAGGGGGGGCAAATAAACTAATAGTCAGCAATAAAAAATGACTAAATAAATCATAGTCCTTCCAGACCATTGACTATTGCAAAACTATTAACAGTTATTGGAGAACATTTGACGTGGTTCCATGATTATAGTATAATACATGAAAGTCAAGACTCAGAATTGTATATAGAGCTTAATAACATATATATTATAATTCTATCTAACCTTATTTATTTATCCAAAATAAAGGTAAATTATTACACTTTTGTTATACTTTTTTTTATAATTTCCAAGTCCTCTAATGAATTATTTTTAGCAAGAGAGCATATTTCTCACCCCTACTTAGATGTGCAAAAATCAAAACATATTTCATATTCATTCATTCATTTCTTTATCTGTTTGCTTATCTCTTTATTATTACATCTTCTTCCTTACAAGTTCCCCTTCCTACTGGATTACTGGGAAACTTAACTGTGTCAATGGACAATATCTCAGTGCCTTCTTTTTTAAACAATTTATTTTCGGTTCATCATGATTGCCTTCAGGGTAATGTTCAAGTTTTCAGAGTTGAGCCTTCATCTTTCTCCTTCCCAAGAGGAGTCTTGATGCTTCAGGAGGTTGGAGAAGGGCACTCCTGTCTTCAGTCTGTTGTGGTGTTTTAGGGTCTTGCTCTCTCTGAAGTGATAAAAAACTGTCCAAGCATCAATCATTTCTACCTCCCCCCACCAAAAAAATGCTAATAAGAACATAAAAGAGCAGGTGAGTATCATTAGCTCTCAAGATAATAAATTAGTTTAACAATTCACTCTCTAGGCCATCTCATGATATTTCTAAAATAGTTTCATTGCCAAGGTCATCATAATCTTTTCAGAAACATATAAGAACTCTGAGGAGGGCATTTTTCCAAACTTCTTTTTACTCCTCAGAATATAAAAATATTCAAAACGAAAAAGAAGGATTCTGGAAATCTGAGCTTGAGCCTTAATTTTATGGCATAATTTAGGAGACTGACACGGTTGACTCAGTCTGGGCCCGCTTTCAGGATTCTGCTCTAAGGAGCCTCTCAAACTGTCCCCACCCCCACCCTCACCCCCATCCCACCCCCACGAACTGAAGTCTGTGTTCATACTGGGCCACTTGGCAGCAGACGATGATCTAGAAGGCAATCAAGGAAAGTGGCTATTAAAAGCTCACAGGCTTACTGGAGGGAGAAAAATGACTTTTGCTAAAAGCTAAATCTCTAAATATCCCCAAAGCTATTTCCCACTTGACCTGTATGTGTGGCTCTGTGTACACATATTCACACATTTCCCCTGATGTGTAGGGTTTTCTTTCTTTCTTTTTCTTTTCTTTTCTTCTTTTTTTTTTGTAATAATTTTTACACACATTTAAATGTAACACTTGCTGAGCACTTAAATGGCTGCGTTAAAGAAGCCACGTGAGCAATGCTGGCTCCCTGCCATTTCTTGGGAGTCCATCAGTTGGGGGAATTGCTTGCAGGACAGAAGCCAACCCCTGATTGTTTTATTTAATTAGACCATTTAGATGGCTAAGCCAGCCTGGAGACACTCTTTCTCTGCTTCCCTTCACCTGGAGAAGATGGCTTTTTTTGGAGCTGATTTCTCTAGAACCTTTGTAACTTTGGACCACAGGATTGATGGGGCGCGTAGCTACGGTCTTCACACCGTTGAGCTTTTATTTAAGCGTTTTCAAGAGCACTTATCAGGTGGTTGCTCATTTTCCCTTTTGCTCTGCTACAAGACATAGAAAAACTGACCCCTTCCGTAGACCGGTGGGTTATAAGTCACTGTGAATCTGAAAGCTCGTCTTTCAGTGGTGGTGCATTTTGGTATTTTCTGAGCACTAAGGCAATGGGTCTTACTGATGGTTTCACTTCTCTGCCACCTGGAAGACAAGAAAGAAAAGTGTTCAACTGTCAATTTATCATATACCTGAAGTGACCGCGGAAAAACAGCATTTTTGCGGCACATTAGAACCACACGTGGAACTGCTCTGATGGACTGAATCCTCTGGAAGTCATCAGGTTGTAACAGGTCCCAAATGTTCAAGGACAGCGATGTTTTCTTTCCTTTAACATCAGGGGCTGCATTACAGGGGTGATGTGAGCCTGTGACTTCTCTGAGCACCAATAAGAGGCGTCAATGAACAGCTGGAATCCTCACAACTTGGCTTAGCCAAATGTGATGAGTTCTTTTTGTCACTAGTTTAAAATAGCGGCTCAATATTCAACCCAATGTAACCTAATTTCTTTTAAATACTGGAAACGGAGCCATGGGTGAGTGAAGCCAAATCCTTGGGCAGGTTGCTGGTGGGATTGGGAAGCCTGAGGTCCTGATCAA